AGCTTTGGGAGAAGTGTTATATTGTGTCATCTCCAGTTGTCCCTGATGTCCTTATGGAAATGTGCACTGCGCAAATCTGGTTTCTGTTTTGCCAGTGCAGAGCTAAGATTGCGTTTCTGTTTCTATGACCAAGGATGCTATTGCTGAGAGTTTTGTTCATTAGGATCCTTTTGCATTCTTTCAGAGTCAATGGTTTCCAGGGCAGGCCCATTCACAGGCTTGTGTTGCATATTCTTAGATATTTGAGTTTGCTTTTGGCTATTCTCAAATGTTCTGGAGTCAGATCAGCCTGATTCACTGATTGGACTTGACTGCTCTGCAAGTCTTTGTCATTTGCAAGTTTTATTACCAGTGACTTAATGCTTAGTTTCAGATTATTGGGAATGCTTGGCCTGGTACAGACCTCTACAAAATCCCACCCAACATCCAATTGCCGGTGGATTGTTCTGCGGCCTGTTGTGCTACATGGATTTGTGAGTTCCCCGCTGCACGTTCATTGCAAGACCTCATCTTTGGGGACTATCTCCCAGGGCTTATTGCTGACCAAGTTTGGCTAATCGGAAAAATACTACAACCGTACTCCTTCATTGTGTAATCAAAATCCATTTAATAGCTTAGAATTAGTCATGTAGCTATTTGCTGTTTCATTTTAAATGGAGGCAAATGCTGTCCTTGAACTTCTGAAGCAGTTTTGCTTTAGAAAAGAGTGCGGCAGTTTTGAAAACTGAATGCCTTTAGTTGGATATTTTAATAAGGATTTAAGATAAACTTTCTGCTTCAAGTAATGGTTATGTCCCGGAGCATATGGGACAAGTTTGCCCTGAAGAATTCCAGTAACAGTGTTCTGCTGGAAACATCTAAAATCCAGTATCTTTAGTTCATCTTTAATGTCAGCATTTTGACTAAAATGAAAGACTTCATAGTTCTTGAATCTGTGGCCAAAATAACTGTATAGAAGATGATTCCACTTTCTAACCTACTGGATATTTCCAGTGGAGAGGTCTCTCCATGCCTCTCTCCTCTAGCTTCCCCTGTTCAAGGTAGCTCCATCTGGGGAAGGCGCAGAGGTCCAGCTGCGTCGGAAGCCCAGCGCTCAGCCACGCTTCCTCCTCAGATCTGTGGGGATCCGCAGGTGCCTCACATCTCAGATCCATACATTGCTTCCAACAACCAGAGCTGAGCAATAAGGAAAAGCAGCCCTAGTGGAGTTCTCCGTGTGGGATTGGTGTCTCTTTTGGAAAATGTCTGGGGTAAATAGCCCAAAGACAGCTGAACTTCACTGGTTTTGTCCAGTAGTCTGATATTCCAGACGCACTGTATGAGTTGGTAACTATTGCCATTGAGGAGGCAGCAGTAGAAAGGACGTAAATGTGGTGGGAATAAGGATGGAGCTGTATCCGTGTGTGGATGGGATGCTGTGGAATGCCTGGAGCTAATGGAGCACTGCAGGATTTCTCCTGACCAGGAAAGCAGTTTCTACTGCACTCAGCAGGTAGCCCCTACTGCCCTCACATGCAGAGGTTTTGGGTCGGTGTTCGACTGGATCAGTTGCCTCATGAGTAAGATCAGTTGTTCATTTGATGGTCGCTTCTAGACTGGGCTGGATACAGCGAGGTCATCATCACGCTGTCCAGATCGTACACGTGTTCATGCCAGGATGCAATTGCCCACTAGCTGTTTTTATTATGTTTATGGTTGAAATGGGGCTTTCAAGCAAAGATCTGGTGCTCAGTCAGCTATGACTTGAGAAACTGATCACTGTAGGGCAGAAACTTGATGCTTGTTCAGCGACGGATGTTGAAAGTTGGAGGAAAATCTATTCAGCCATTATCTCGAGGAGCAAACATTCAAATAAGCAATTGTCTCTTGAGCTTTTTTTAATATAGAGCATGCAAAAATAATGCAAACATAAGGCTGACATTTGACTTCACAAGTCAGAAAGTTTGGGTTCTTTGAGAGACTTAACTTTATATCCTGGAATGTGAGCATGGTTATAGGATTGTTCATTTCATGAATATGCAACAGGGGGAGATTCCCTTCTTTTGGGTCCATGCAGAGGAAAAGAGCTAAATCTGTACTGCACAAACTTAGTCATTTGTGTATTGATTTCATTCTGCATCCCTGCTAAGTACTGATGTGCTCTAGTTGTATGCATTGTTGCATGTAGGAGCTTCAGTAGTATAATAGGAAATAAGAGTACAATATCATAAATTTCTAGTTTTTGGAAATGCTACTCTTAAGAAACTTAATCTGTACCGTTCAAATGTGCTGCTGCTCAAATACAGAATGATCCTGCTTTTTAGCATCTGCGTAATGCACTCTTTGGCTGACGACTCTTTGATCACATTAAATGGAATAATTATATCCATCGAGTGTCTGATTTTGCAAAATCTTATGCAGCTTTCCAATCTTGTGATGTGCAGCTTCTGTGAATTTTTGGTGTGATCTAAGAATTTTTGGGTGAAATTCCCTGCTCCGTTATGTATGAGGTCAGCCTAAATGATCTCTCTTGGCCCTCAAAGGAAAACAAAATCCTACGAATCCATGCTTGACAGCATCTGGACACTCTTGCTCTACGCTGTATGGAGATCATGGTTTTGCGGACTATGGAAAAGTTTACTTAAAAATCCATTTGCAAATCCATGAGGAAATGTGTGACTAGGGGCTTAGGTAGCTGCAGGGGGAATATTATGCTACCTAGTGACAGCAGTGTCTGTCCTCTAGCTCGGGGCAAGCATGGTAATGTTAGTGTATGCTGTTTAAAAGGAAACCTCCCTCTGCCGTCTTATTTAATGTAACATAAACTCTCCAAGCACTCTTCAACCAAGCGTTAGAAAAGCTCTATCATTCAAATATCTTTGTTGTGTATTGCATATAGAAAGGTCTGTAATTTAGCACCCGGAACACATCTTTTACTGCCTAAAGAACGACTTGGAAAGAAAGAAATTCAGGCAGAGCCTGAAGGGTTGAGGAAAATGAACTCCTGCTGCAGTTGCACACTTGCACACATCTGGTGCAATTGAAATTTAAGAGCTGAATACATCTACATCTGACCATGGTAAGGTCCAAACATTACTGTTGACGCTAGTTTTCTTTTTGGATAGGCACACTGGCAGAGTCAGTAGTGTGTGGAGCCTTGTCAGCTCTCTAATCTAATAGACTGTTCTTGCCCAGACCATTGTGTGTGAGTATTTTATGTACCGAGTGCAGCCAGGTTTAATAATCGGCCATTTTACCACCTTCTGCCAAACTTCCCCCTTTTTTTCAGGATTTAATGTTTGATTCAAAATCTGCTATGGTAACAAATTATATACATGTTTAAAAAATGAAAATAAAGATGGAAAGCAGAGTCACAGAAGGTAACAGGAGTTCAGAATAATGTCATTTTAGAGCTTTTTTAAGAGACTTGAATTCAACCCCATTTTAAAATTGATTTTATTTCTGTTACGTATTGTGAAAAGCTCAAAAATAAATTGGTACTGCTTGAAATCATGACTGCAGCTCTGTATATTTAAAGTTGTGAAAGTCTTGCTTGTCCAGCTTCGATTTGATCTATCTGTTTTTCAGCTGCTAGATTAGAATTTGTGAAGTTTTGGGGGGCATTTTTCTCACTTGATATAGTTGTCTTCAACTATGACCTATTGAGGCTATTTTTGCTTATTGCTAATGACTGAATCTATTATATAAATTGTTACTAGAAAGCTTTCTCCTTATATTTTTAACGGACCCTTTGCTCACATTTCTGGCAATGTGAGTTGCTGCTGTCATGTTCTGGGTGAGTGATCCTGGGAACTCTGGAGAAATGTCTCCCGGGAGTTTCTTATTCTGTGCTGATCTGAATTTCACACTGAATTACTGCAGCTGGAGTGGACTGGAAGCTTTTGAAACAGACCTGCCTCTAGGTTCAAGGGACAGATGAGTGCCTGCAACTAGCTGTTGGTTGCACGAAGGATGCTAGTAAAGACATATTTATGCAAGGTGTGAACTACCTTAATCTTTATAACCCGAGATGACGGAATTTCCTGCCCTCGGTCATGTGCAGTGAAGGATGTCATCCAGGTCTGTTGGCTGCCTTACTTATTCGGAAGAGGCTTCTTCGTGGCTTTTCTTGACGTGTTTTATTTTGCACATTTTTTTTCCTTTTGCTGCTGTTCCACATCAGTGGAAAAGCAGCTACAAATCTACAGCCATGGTCAGTTCCTTGTGTGGATTATCAGTTAGCTAATGGTTAACTAGTATGTGCTCTGAGTTCATTCCTCTGGAGGATTTAATTGGCCCATTTGTATAGGCAACAGCAATAATTCAATGCCTTTAACAAAAAGATAGAAGCCTAAAAGAAATGTAAAAGTTGGTGCTTTACCAAGCTTCCCCCATGCGTTTCCTCCTCAGGTTGCAGGACAGAATGTTCTCTGATATGTGTGCATATATATAGAGACAGACAGACACACACACACACATATATATATATCTATTTAAATATATATAATTTCAGACTAACCATGTGTTGGGGAGGTCTCCCCAAGATAAACCTCGACATGGTCCTGGCATTCACTGGAACTGCTCGAGCTTGGGGACGTCTCAGGTTGATTAGTTTATCTTGCTTAACAATGGCCTAAGCAACTCATTAAATTGTAGTGTGTCCTCCTCCTTGTCTCTGTTTACTCCCAACTTCTGGAAGGCCGATTAGAGGCTTGGCAGGAACTGTCTGGTTACGCTCTAGATACGCTTTGGATACATTATTGTCACAGTTGAGGTATTACAAAAGCCGTGCCGTTCCCATCTTTTTCTTACTGAGGTACCTCTTTTGATTGTGCAATATCTGTGGCTAATTACATGGCAATTGCAGTTTGCCACCAGCCACCCATAACTCACTCTCAGCTCCTCGGGGATGCAGATGAGAAAGGAAAGATAATGTTTTCTTTCTTCAGTCCAGTGATTTAGCTTGCCTATTTTTTTCTTTCCTTTTTTTTTTTTTTTTTTTTAATCCCTTGTTCCTTCAGGTAATAAAGCCAGATGGTAGTGACAAAGAAACAGAAGCCACACATGAATCAGATGTCCCTGAGGATATGCTGGGGACTTGCCTTCCTCGAGAGACTGTGAAAGGCGATGCTCAAAGTCCGGATGTCATTATAGAAGCTCAGTTTGATGATAATGATGCTGAGCATGGACAAGACCACTTGCAGGATCTGCTGGCTGAAGACATTAAGAAACTTTCCCTGGATACTGGTGAAAAGGGTGAGTAGATCAGATAGCTGATTTCAACCTTTATTTGAGCAAACTGTTGACGTATTACTTTGTTGCCTTGCTTTGCTCCGAGATATAAAGTACAGGCGTAAAACCTTAATGCCTTAGCATTTCTATCCCTTTCTGCTAAACTGCCTTCATGGTTTTGAATGGATGTTAAGGACTGGGTTTTATGCAGCTTTGATTGAGGAAAGTAAATCTGTGAAGCAGAAGTCACACCTCTGGCTGTGCAGTTCTCGGGGCTGTCTGGGGATGGCTAGTTGCTGTTTTGTTCAAGATGCTGCTGTAGCAGTTTCCTTCATCACAGTTTGGCTGGCCAATCTGTGCATCTTAGTTTGGGGATAAGAATATATTTCCTTGGGGGCAATTAGGTTTGTTGCTGTTTTCAAACAATTGACTTAAAGATTTGGTCCATTTAAAAAGAAAATTGCACTAAAACCTAAAGCCAATTATGCGATCTGTTTTGAAGGCAAACTTATTTTATTGTGAACCTGAATTCCATTCAAACCATCAAATGTTGCTTAGGGCAAGATAAAATAGGCTCCCCTTTTTCAAACTATGCTGTGTTGCCTTTTTTTGCGTGTCCTTTGTGGTACTAAATCCCTTAAGATCTCCTCCTCCTGAAGGATTGTGGTGAAAAGATTCTGACAGTTGGGCTGATACTTGCCTTCAGTTGCTGGGGAGAAATCCAGCAGCAGAGACCTTCTGGTCCATTCTTAATGCACATTGCTGTTATCCAGCAAAGATGATGGTTGGAGACTTGGGTCTCAAGCAGTTGTTGATGTCTGACAGATCTTGCTGTTTGTTGTCAAGCTCTCCTTCGGGCAGACCTCTGCCCATGCTGTTGGTACATTTCCATTTTCACACCCATCTGGTAAGAGAAATGGAAATAACATTTGAGTAGGAGTGTTGTACTGTGTGTTACAAAACACTGGTTTCAGCTGATGAATGGAGCTGCCACCTCACCAGCTGATGATGCTGTTTCCTTTCCTGAGTTACTGCCAGGGCGTGTGAATCAACTTCCACCTTGCTCCTTTACCTTCTAGCATAAAGCTCGAGTTGGGAGTTGCTGGGATTGTCAGCTGATGTTTTACACAAGTATTTATTAACCCCATCCATTTTGCAGTGTTGGCCAGTTGATTCTAGTTGTGTACTGCTGAGCTGCCACTTCGATTCCACAATTCAAAATCTCCTGATGTGCTCTAGACTCTCATGTCTGCATCTCCCATTTTGCTTCTAGAAGCAATTCCGAATCAAGGGTCAGAGAATGCATTCTAGTTTGCCAGTATCTCAAATAAATGCAGACTGAGCAAATGTTTTATTTTACCTCTGATTGTTTTGGGAAGAACTTGTGCTTTGTTGGAGTTACTTTTCTTGCTGCTTTATAATCCCTCAAGATGTTCTGGCATAAGCTGTGCTGAAGTTTCTCAAGTTGTCTCTTAAAATCTATGCCACTTGAGTCTATTTTGCCATTTAGTTCTATCTTTGGAGAATATGTGTAGGGCAGACATTAGATCATCTTATCTACACATTTGAAATCCAAACTACCTCTCCATTAGAACTGCCTAAGCCAGCTGTTTTCTTCTAAATCTTCTCTTTGCTCATCCTTAACAGGCCTTCTGGTTGGTGTGGATGTGCCAGTTAAAGTTTTGCTGAGTTTGTATTTTGCTATCACCTCTTTTAATAGCTGTTTCAGCTTCTTTGGCTATATCACCCATACAAATTTTTCTCTAGTTTCTTCTTGCGCTGCTTTTTAGTGCCCTCTTTTTTTATACTTACAAAGTTTATGATGCTGCTTTTTCTGAAGGTGTTTTTGAGCAGCTGATGATTGCTTTGGCTTGTTTCCTGTCTTTCATGCAATTTCTCATATCATCACTTACCCAGATTTTAAGTCTTGCCTGGAAAACAGCTATAGCTATTCTAGCATCAGTGATAACTGTCATGAAAAAAAAATTCCTGCCAAATTCTACCCTCAAGACAGCCAGGTGTGGCTCCAATGCTTTTTAAAAGGACTAAATATACACTCAAAGCCAGAATTTAGCCTCAAAGGATTATAACTGCTGGACTACCTATTTAGCCTCAAAGGATTATAACTGCTGGGCAGTTATAGGCCGGGCACTGGTCTGTTGTATCAGCACGTGAGGGCAGAGCGATCTGCAGGGTTGGACTGTGGTTGTAGGTGCCCTTCCCCGTGTAAGGTTGACGCCTCCTGAGGATGCTTCCTGGCTGATGATGCCTGTTGTATTTCTCCTTAAAGCTAAGCTGCTCATGAGGCTTCTTTTATCCTATCTTCCTTCTGCTGGAAGCAACTACTGCAGCAGAATAGAAGTGAAATGGAAATTAAATGAAAAGAGGAAATGAAATCCCAGGTGCAAATTCCTGGTGCCGCCGAGATCAGTGTTGTATTTGCTTCCTCTGAGAGTCTAGCTTTGTAGAACCCATTGCACAGAGAAATAATCTGTGGTCAGTTCAGTTCTCCAATTAACATTTGTAACTCAACATAATTAAGTCAGGCTTCGAGCTGAATGAAGATGCAGTCAAGGAATTCTTATTTAATAAAATCAAGAGACAATCCCTTGTTTCTCTCCCCCACCTGCTCTCAGCCATGCATGCTCTCTCTTGACCTACGTGCATGTATATGTAAAACAAAATCTAAAACTACCAAAACCACCACAGATTTCTGTGAGTGAAAAAATATAATAGGTATTGATAATAAAATAGAAAAAAATAAAAATCTTGTTCACTCTGGGAAAACAGAGGGAAAACTAAGAGGGAAAACAGAGCCAGTTGGCTCTAGGCCTTACTAGATGAAGTTCACATCTTTGTGTCTGGATACACCTTCTGCACATTGGTGTGTCTCAGTTGTAAGATGGCTTTTGTCCTTTCTGTTGGAGGAGTGCAATTACGTAACATCTTTGTCTCATTTGTTCTGCTGTTGGTGGTCAGAATGAACCATGACCAATAAAAGTAGATGTGTCATTAGGCTGGGAGCGCTCGGGGTCACTCTGGAAATGCAGGCTGTTTTGATGTCTTTTCTGCCCAGGCCTGCATCACCTTCCTCGTGGCAGCTCTGTTCCTCTTCAGAGCACCAGCTCCTCTCTCTGTGCCTGGTTTCATCCTGGCGCAAAGGATACCAGGTTGGCTGTTGCTTTGAGAAGTTCTTAAGCATGAAACTTCGTATACACTGATTATTATGGTCCAGGTAGGCAGAATTTCTCTGAAGTCAATGGATCTTGGGCTTCTTATGCTGCTTTGGAGCTTCAAGCAAACTGCTAGGCATTCTTGGGCTTGGTGCTACAGGCTGAGACCCAGATGTCTCACTTCTCAATGCTGAGGTCTCTACTTCCTGTCTGTTTTCTTCCTACAACCTTGTAGAGATGGAATAAATCTGAGTGAAGTCCACAAAACTGTGGAGAGACCAGTACACTCACAAAATCACAGAACGGTTGAGATTGGAAGGGACTTCTGGAGATCTAGTCCAACCTCCTGTGCTCAAGAAGGATCACCAAGAGCACATTGCACGGGATGGCATCCAGGTGGGCTTTGGATATCTCCAGAGAAGGGGACTCCACAGCCTCTGTAGGCAGCCTGCTTTGGAGCTCTGTCACCCACACAGTAAACTTTTCCCCATATTCAGATAAAATTTGCTATGTTTCAGTGTGTGCCTGTTGCTGGGTGCTACTGAAGATAGGCTGGCCCCTTTATCTTGACACCTTCCCTTCAGATATCTATACACTCAATTAAGATCCCCCCTCAGCCTTTTGTCCAGGCTCAACAGGTCCAGCTCTCTTGGTGTTTCCTCATAAGAGAGATGCTCCAGTCCCTTAATTATCTTTGTAGCCCCACATCAGACTCTCTGCAGCAGTTCCATCTCTCTCATACTGGGAAGCCCAGAACTGGTCACTACTCCAAATGTGGCCTCACCAAGGCTGAGCAGAGGCTGACAGAGCTCTCCCTGTTGCAGCCCAGGACCCCTTTGGCCTTGGCCACAAGGGCCTGCTGCTGGCTCATGGTCGGGCTGCAGTGTACCAGGCCTCCACGGTCCTTCTTTGCAGAGCTGCTTTTCAGCAGGTCAGCCTGATGTAGTTTATGAAAGTTCTCATGCTCGTAAAAGTGACTTAGTCTTGCTTTGCTCAAAGATGTTTCAACGAAAGCTTGTAATTGATGTCTCTGCCACTGTCCTTGTTGATCTAGTTTGCTTTGCTTTTCTCATCTCTTCTTGCTAAGTTGGGCTGAAGATTATCTTCAGAAAAGTGTCTGATCTAGGAAGTGATGAGCCCTTTTCTCCAGCAAGTAGTTTCACACAGAGGAACAGTATTTTCTTGCTTAATGTTAAGTTCTAGTTATTGGATGCAGATTGGTCTTAGCATAGTTGGCAGTCCCTTTCCTCTTGATTTTCACCTGTTATTTCCTAGGTGTGAATTTCTCATCTTTGCTGACCAAACCTTCTCTCTGTTTTCTCCTAACAAAGAAGGAATGAGCATTCTGAATGTCAGATCTGAAGAATGTTTCTCAGCACCCTTGTTTGTGTCCTTGGAAGCCACTCTAGAGTTTCGATGTCCTCTCAAAATGCAGGCAGAGAACCAAGCAGGACTATCCCAGCATTAGTCATAAAGGTTACTTCCAAATCCTTGGTATTTCTTTTTTTTTTTCTTTTTTTTTTTTTGCTTGCAAGTCCTTTGTGCCTTAGTTTGACTTACTCTGTGTCACTGCTTTCCAAAACAGTCATCTACCCCTGGATATAACCTTTGCCAGACGTTTGATTTCTTTCCTCACTCCTCATTCACGTTCACTATTGGAACAGAGGTAGCCTTGCTTTATCTTATCAAGTGATGTCAGCAACTTGTCACTGCTATAGAAGGGTGTTTATTATGCTATATTTCAATATATAATAAAGAATAGAAACTTCTCTCTATCCATCCAACTTAGGAATAGTGCAAGATGTTCTGTACAGAATATTTTATGATACTATATCCCTCCCTAGACTGTCA